CGAAAGAAAATACAATATGGGAATGAAAATGAAGTCCTATCAACTAAAGAAAAATAAAGCAAACAATACAACTGAAGGCTCAAAGAATAAGACGCTACGAGAAAAGATCAAGATTCTATAGACAGAACAAGATCTTTCAAACCGATGCAAAAGAAATTTTACAGGGAAATAGGTAAACAAAGAATTGAAGTGACAGTCCCCCTAAAAATGGAAAAGTTTATACAGTTCTGGGAAAAATATGGGCTTGCCCTAAAGAACAACGAAAGAGGCAGATTGGATTGTTGCAAAAGTTAGAACGAATGAAAAATAAACCAGAACAGACCTGGGCGGAATCACAGAAGAAGATGTTAAATGCACTGAAAAAGCACACAACTGGAAATCTCCAGGAATAGATAAAATTCTAACTTGGCTATATTATTTAAATACAGCACACAAAAAACTCGCCAAAGAACTTCAAGAAATGGTTACCGATCCAACTAAAATTCCTGCATGGATGACAAATACCCAAAAATAACACAAATATTCTCAAAACTATAGACCAATTACATGTCTTCCAACAACATACAAACTGTTAACATCTATTTTAATAAAACAGACATATTTCTTCTTGGAAAGAAATGACATACTACCCTTGAACAAAAAGGGTGCAAATGAGGCTGCTACGGATGTAAAGACCAATTACTTATTAATAGGATGATCCTGAAAACTGCTTCCGTGGAAAAAAAAATCTTAATTACCTGGATAGATTATCGTAAAGCATTCGATAGTGTACCACATTCCTGGATCTTAAAAAGTCTTTAAGTATGTACAAGGTATCACCCGTTATCATCAATTTCATCAAACAATGTATGTCGATATGGAAAACTACACTTTACCTCAAAATACAAAATGGAACCTATAAGTCTGGCGAAATAAACATCAATAGAGGAATATTTCAAGGTGACTCTTTGTCTCCTTTATTATTTGCATATCACTTATAGCATTAACCAGCCAACAACAAAGACAGAATGCGGTTACAAAATAGCTCAAAAGAAATAAACCATCTATTTTACATGGATGACTTAAAATTGTATGCTAGGAATGACAATGAGCTGGAAGGTCTTCTGCAAACTGTAAAATGCTTCAGTGAAGACATTGGAATGAAATTCAATTTGGATAAATGTGTCCTTAAAGCTACAGTTTTACGAGGATCGCTACAACAAACTTCCTCTATTTTTTTAGACCCTGCTGTAAACAATAAAAAGACGAACAAGGAGAGCTAAAGTACCTAGGTGTAAATGAGAGTGAAGGAATTCACCATAAGAAAAATGAAAGAAATAAAAGAGTACTATATACGACTGGTATTAAAAACTGAATTGAATTCTCAGAACAGAATTATGGCCATTAATAATATCCCAGTGGTCCAATATAATATCAAATGACATCAGACAAATGGATTAAAAAACAAGAAAGCTTCTTTCTAAGTATAAGATACATCATCCAAAGGCTGATGTAACACATACCCCGTAAAAAACTTATTCAGCTTTCAACAAGAAACAATATTAATAATACTAATGGAAAACAACAAATGACTGGATGATAAAATTAGTGAAACAACATGAAAACAGAAAGAAAAAATATTCAATAATAAAAGAGGCAGTAAATACAAACAACATTTACATTTAGTAGATTCTGTAGTAAATCAAAACAGAAGCCAAGAACCAACTATTGCAGCAAAAGATATGAAAAAGAAAAAGCCAAGGATAAAGCCCTTGAACAGATGAAACAACGCTGGCAAGACAAACCTCTGCATGGCCAATATCCAGAACGTGCAAATAAACCCAATGTTGATAAAAGTTAATACTCATCGATGGTTACGAGCATCTGGATTAAAGTCTGAAACTGAAGGCTTTATTCTTGCAGCGCAAGACCAGAGTCTTTTCACTAGGAATTTTCAGGCAAATATCATACATAATAATGTGGATCCAAAATGCAGGTTCTGTGACAAATACCAAGAAACAATAGACCATCTAATCTCAGGATGTTCTATACTTGCCCCAAATGAATATAAAATCGTCACGATAGAGTGGGGCAATACTTACACTGGACAATGTGCAAACACTTTGAAAATGTGTAAGCAAACACTGGTATGAACATCGGCCAGCGCCGGTTACAGAAATAGAAGATGTCACCATTCTGTGGGATTATACCATCCACACAGACAGAAAAATTGAAGCAAATAGGCCGGACATTATTGTCAAAAACCAGAAAGAAAAAACTTGCCTACTAATTGATATGGCTTGTCCAGCGGATTGTAACATATAGCAACCAAGGAATTTGAAAAACTATCAAAATACAAAGACCTGGAAATTGAAATAGAAAAAAATGTGGAAATTGAAAAAACAAGAATAATACCAGTGGTAATAGGTGCACTTGGAATTATAAAAATGGAACAAAAACAACACATTGAAAGAATCCCTGGAAACCCCAGCTTAAGAGACATACAGAAAATTGTCTTATTAAGTACAGCACACACACTAAGGAGAACTTTGTCTATGTAACGCTAGCAACTTCATCGGAGATAAAAAAAAAAAAAAAAAAAAAAATTAATAGAAATGTGGAATAATAACACACCACGACCTGCCTTTAGGTCTTTCCAGACTTGGTAGGTAGTGTGTCCAGCAGCAGAAATCGAATGATGATGATGATGATAATAATAATAATAATTTAAGAATTTTAATTATAATTTCATGCTGGATTAAGATGGGCTCCAGCAAATATTCTGTTTTGTACACGGACTTGCTTATCAGTTGACTGCTTTTTTTCAGTTTGGCATGAAGTGAGTGAGTTTTTTTTTTTGACAGGAGTAACATTTAGATTATCAAAACCTTCATTCGGATGCCGTTTAAGATGACATTACCCGTTTTATACAAAACCTGCTTTCATATCGCTTATATTTGGCTGTGATGCGTGTGCTTGGTATTCGCTTATCAGACTGGCGTTACTACAGACATATTTACTTTCGTATATTTATAATTCATCCTCAGTTTTTGGCGTGCTGCTGAATATACACAACTCTGTATAATTGTAACCGTGTATAATTATAACATAGACACACACATTCACACACATACTTACGCACTTACACACAGGCGCCCACACACATGCACATATGCACACACATGTTTCTCCAAGCATTAACCTGGATATTTACATAAACACACATGAAAGTAGAAGCTCACGTGAATAATAATAATAATAATAATAATAATAATAATAATAATAATAATAATAATAATAATAATAATTTGATTGGAAAAGTTTCATTGAAGGGATCTGTGTTAGCCCAAGACTTAAAGAATTACAAAAAATTGTATTCACAAGTAGTGATCCCACCTTACGAAGAGCATTTTCTATGTAAAATGTGTGTGATCGTAGATATATACATATATTTATATGCTTGACTTGGGAAATGTCATTATGACAAAAAACCTTAAAGAAATTGGGACCCAGAAAGAAATGAGTATACACCAGAAATCAAAGGAAATAAAATAATAACAATAATAATAATAACAACAACAACAACAATAATTATTATTATTATTATTATTTGCAACCTTCCAGATTATATTGTTGCTGTGGGGCTTTGTGGTTATTATTGGCGATTTGAAAGGATTTGCTGTCACTTAATCACCCTACTTCAAATAAAAGATTAGGAAGGAAATCCCCATCAATACTGGAAAGATCGATAACAACTACTGGACTTGAGAAAGATATTTTCCTGAAAAATGGTTTTAAGACAAAGATTTAAAAGAGAACGTAGTTCTAGCTGCTCTGTCAATGAATGCCAAATGTTTCCTTATAGGAAAACGGCTAATATTACGATTACCAATCGCCAACTATGACCACTACACAACTGATGTGTATATGTAAATACATGAAATAATAATAATAATTAATAATAACAGTAATATTAGTACTAGTAATGTTAGTAGTTGTATTAAATAATTTTAGTACCTTGTATCTTTCACTAAAGATCAAGTGACAATGTGAACTCATTGTTTAAGCCCTTTTCTAAGGTTTCTCGCTATTTTCAGCAGTACTGTATTCTTCTTCTTCTTCTTTTCTTCTTCTTCTTCTTCTTCTTCTTATTATTATTATTATTATTATTATTATTAGTAGTAGTAGTAGTAGTAGTAGTAGTAATAGTAATAGTAGTAGTAGTATTAGTAGTAGTAGTAGCAGTAGCACAAGGGTATAGTTTTAGAGCACTCAAGAAATATCGATCTTACACGACCAACAGGTTGATCATTTAGCTAATCTTACTATTACTACTGTTTTGTTGCTAGATTACAAATGTGCTTTTGTACAAGTTATCACCACTACCACTACTATCATTCTCATCATCATCATCATTATCATTACTTTACCACTGCTATTATGACTGTGAATGTTCAGCTATTATCCCAAATATGCCGGTCGATTGACCCTTACAGAGGGAACAGATTATTGGTAAAGTAATTTGGAAGGCATTGAGTTGGCCAAAAAAGTTCGTTCGGTTATTAAGTAGACCATTTACTTAAAAAACCGAACGAACTTAATGGCCAACCCAATAAATTGTCATCATAAGTAAAACCGCAGATACACACACGCGCACGGGCGCGCGCACACACAAACAAACTCATACACCCCCACACACAAACACATACACCTGTACACACAAACATGTCTCCAAGCACTAACGCAATCATCAGTCTATGCATACGCACCGATCGACCGCCGCACACATAAATATAAAAAAAATAACAGTTCATGCATATGCACACTCATGAAAGTACACATAGAAGAGTAAGCACACATATTCATCAGCTTATGAAGACATTTTGCATATTCACACATGCATGACACTGCAATCCTCCAAACACATAGAAGAACATAGTCAAAAATCTGCAAGTATGCATACATTAATCAGCACATACATATATACACACATCAACTTACACCATAATTTATAAACATAGGCCTTTTTCTTTATCTTTCATACACTCACATCCCATACACGAGTTTTCTTCTTCTTCTTCTTCTTCTTCTTCTTCTTCTTCTTCTTCTTCTTCTTCTTCTTCTTCTTCTTCTTCTTGTCCGTGCAGGACATAGGCGATCACGACACTCCACAACTTCCTATCCCCCTGTAGCTCTTAGTAAATTTTTTTCACTCCATCTCAACCCTTCAGCCATGCATTCACATAAGCTGGTCAGCTTGATAACCCGTTGCCGCCACTGTCCATTTAAAAGAAAAACTCGAAAATAAAGATTTCTTCACACCCTCCAGATATCCGTATGATCGGGGACATTAACCGGCGAAAGTCTTGAAGTAGGAAAAAGAATAACCAATCAGTCAGTCAGCAGCTAGCTTGTGGCCTTTTGCCAGACGAATTGGAGGAGAAGGACAAATCAAAAATCAGATTGAAAGAAAAAGAGAAGAAAAGTCATACAAACCAACAAGACCTACAGAAGCGGCGCTTTGAGTAGCTGAACAGGTGCGTGACTGAATTGGCGCTATCACTAATAAGTCGATACACGCGGACATGCGACACACCCGGGGCCCCCTCCTCCTAACTCACAGGCACACGCGCGAAAATGAGATAGAAATCTCTCACTCATAAGTTGAAACACACACACACACACACACACACACACACACACACACACACACACACACACACACACACACACACAGACAGATGTGGCCAATCACATTCCCAGATATTTGAACAACAGTAAGATATATTTCCGATTGATGACAGCAGAGTGAGTTCGAACCTTCTAACAAAAAATAAATAAACAAAAAGGAATCTAACTTTTAACTAATGCTTTTAACTTTGAAAACTGGCACAACACAGTCTTTCAAAATATTATTTCTTCTTAATTGTCTTAATTCAGCTTAACATGGCCTGCTTCAGGCCGGTTCGTATGGTCGGTTAACTCAATTAAAAGTCAAAACATGGAATGCTGATTTTCAAGGCAAGCAGACATTATTAGATTAGAGACTGGCGCGATTCAATCGATTTGCACGCATATCCTAACATTTGACTATCATAAACTTGGCTCTCTCTCTCGCGCTCTCTCTCTCTTTCTTTCTTTCTATCTATCTATCTATCTATCTATCTATCTATGTGTGTGTGGGTGTGTATGGGTGTGTTTGTGGGTGGGTGTGGGCGTGTAAATTATTAAAAATTAAGTTTATTTAAGAGGAAGAGAGCTCGATATTGAGGATCGTGCGTTTGTAGATATAAATAGTGTGGATATAAAAATATATTTTATTTTTTAAATGCACTCTCTTTTTTTTTTATATATATATATATATATATATATATATATATATATATATATATATATATATATGCCCAAAACACATACATGTATACATATATGCATGCGATTCTAATTAAACTATGTTCTATTGTCATAATAAAGAATTTGCATTATTTTCCTTCCTAAATAGGTGTGTGTGTCTGTGTGTGTGTGTGTGTGTGCGTGTGTGTGTGTGTGTGCGTGCGCGCGCGTAGTTTTTGCCTGTTGTAAATTTTGCAGGCATCGGCTAAAACACGTTGGCCGAACTGGTGCATGAATTTCTTGGCCAAACCACGACTTGTTAAAGAAACGACAATGGCTAACGACCTCCCCTCTATCCTGCTGGTGAGTGATGTTGACTCACGCGATCGGTGCTAATAGCGGGTGGCGTGTTGAACCCCATTCATGCATACCCTGGTCAAGATTTCTGGGAAAGAAGTAAGGGAGAGAGTAATAGGAGAGAAAAGAGATAAAAAAAAAAAAGAGCAAACAAAACAAGGAGAGAGAAAAAAAGAATGAAAACTGGATAGAAAAGTGAATGAGAGTGAGAGAGAGAGGCGAAATGAGGGCGAGTAGAAAGAGAAAGTGAGGAAGAGGCGAAGTGAGAATGAGAGGAAGTGAGGAAAAGAGAGAGCGATGAAAAGAGAAAGTGAAGAAGGTCTGTGGAAGAGAGGGAGTGAGGAATAGAGAAAGTAAGAAAACCGTAAAGGGAGAAGGGGAATGGAAATACAAAGAATAAAAAGAGAGAAAGGAATAAAAGAAAACAGAAAAGAAGTTTGAGAGAAAAGAAAGGAAGAAGAAAAAAGAAGGGGGGGGCTGAGGAAATAAAAGGGAGAAAAATAAGAGGGGAAAGAAGTAGAAGAAGAAATAGTGAGAGAGTAATGAAAAGCTGGAGGTGAAGTATATGAGAGGGAGGGAAGGTTGAGGATGAAGAGAGAATAGAAAGAAAAGGAGAACGAAGAAAGAAAAGAAACGACATGGAAAGGAAAGTGAAATTAAGAAAGAAAGATAGAAAGGTGAAAAGGGAGAATAAAAAGGAAGAGGGAAAGCAAAAAGAGAATAGAAAATCGAGAGGGGAAATGGAAAAGAGAAGAAAGAAAAGAATGTGAATAGGGGGAAAGATAGGGTAGAAAAAGAAAGTAAAGAAAAAAGAGATAAATAACAGATGAAAGAGAGTAAGGAGAGAGAAATTAGAAGGAAAGAGAAAGAATTGGGGGGGGAGAGAGGGAAATTGAAAGCAGGTTGACAAAGGAGAATTGAAAAGGAAGAAGCGATAAAGCAGAGAAAGAAAAGGGAATAAAAAGTAGAAGAGAGAGAAAGAAAGCAAATAAAGTAAAGTGAATCAAAAGAAAAAGAAAGATAGATAAATTGGGGGAAAAAGAGAAAAGAAATGGAAGAAAAGAGAAGGAAAAGAAGAAGAAGAAGAAGAAGAAGAAGAAGAAGAAGAAGAAGGAAAAGGAAAGTAGAGGAAAAAGATGAAGGAGAGAGAAAATAGAGAGTAGAAAAAAGTAATGGGGGGAATTAGAGAACCTAGTTGAAGAAAAAAGAAAGAAGAGGAAGGAAAGACAAATTAGAGGAATAAAAAGGGAGTAAGAAAGTAGAAGAAAAGAGAGGAAGAAGAAGAAGAAGGGAAGAGAATTGAAAAGAGAAAAAATAGATGTATATGAAGGAGTGGGAAAGTAAGGGAAATGAAAGAATGGCAAAAAGAAGAAGGAAAGAGAAAGTAGAAATACGAAGAAGAGAGAGTGTATAGAGGCAAGAATAACGGTAAAGAATTAAGGTGAGAGAGTCTGAAAGAATAAAAGGTAATGAAAAGTAAAGAGAAGCTAGAAAGAGAAAAGGAAGAAGAAAGTAAGGAGAAGAAAAGAAAAACGATTGAGAAAGTAGGGAACAAAAAGGAATCGATTGTTAAAGAAGGAAAGAAAGATTAGTATAAAGCGGGGAGAAGAGAGAAGAATAAAAAGAAGGAGAGAGAAGTAGGGAAGAAGGGTGGAAGGAAAGGAAGAGAAATGAGAAGAATGAAGAAGTACGCTGATGGGTTGAAGCGACGTGTGTCTCGAGTAAATTAACTCGCATTTTTTTATTTTTATTTTATTTTTTTTTTATTTTATTTTATCTTTGGGGCCAGCCATTAAATAAAACCAGTCAACAATAAAAATCTTACTTTTTAAATATTTTAAATGCCCATACATACAAAGTTTTTATTTTTTATTTTTATTTTTTTATTTTATGCAACAAAGGCAAAAGATAAAACGGTGTGAAAGCGCCAGTATTGAAAGGTTTTAGAACTGATCCCAAATACCGGGCAGGAAATAAGTGTCACCATATGTTCAATGGGCAAAAATATAATGTCTTCCTAAAACTTGGATAAAAAAGCTCCCTTCCATTAATAACTGCTAGTAACCATAGATAAAAAGACTATCTATATTTGTCTACATAATAGCAGGTGACCATGGTCAGAAAAGTCACATGTTCCATTTTATGTCATATTGTTACATCAAATTAAACAAATGCAATTGATATAACTGAAGTCTTGAATAGATTGACAAATTAGTATTACGGCCAGTCTTTTTAGAAGTGACCACTGTGAGCTCTAATTTGAACGGATAACACACACACACACACACACACACACACACAGATTGGGACACGCGCACACATGTGCATATAGGCACGTATCGAAATATATTTAATATTTTAGCATCATTTGTTTAGGTAAGATTACGTCTATTCTTTATTGATTTAAACATAACACAACAAAAAGAAGGCTTAAAATGAAATGGCAGGCAAGGAATTAGGATGAACAGTATTTAAAAATGGGAAGAAAACTGGAAAAATATGAAAGAAAATATGAAAGCCGAATGAAAAAAAAAGAAGAAATTAGAAACGAAGGAAGGAAGGAGGAAGAAAAAAGAAGAAAAGAAAATAAAGAAAGAAAGAAAGAAACAAACAAACAAAGGAGTAAAATGGACAAGGAAATCATAATGTAAAATAAGGAAAAGAGAAAAAGCAAAGGATAAAAATCAGAAATAAGGGATAAAGAAAGATTAAACAATATAAAAAAAAGAAAGAACGAAAAATAAAAAGAAAAGAAAGAAGGGAGAAAAGAAAAACAGTAAGAAAGAAAAGAGTAAAACATCAAAGAAAGAAGGAATCGGGAATGAAAGAAAGAAAGAAAGAAAGAAAGAAAGAAAGAAAGAAAGAAAGAAAGAAAGGCAGGCAGGCAGGCAGGCAGGCAGGCAGGCAGGCAGACAGACAGACAGGCTGACAGAAAGGATGAATGAAAGTAAATGTAAGTATTTTATTATGATTCTTTAGAATTTCTTACTCCTGCGTAAATCAGGAAAGCCTTAAAAACTCTAACAAAATAACGTCCTGCTTTGTTTTATTCGTTATATAAATAAAAATACACTGTTAATTACAATGATTGGGCATAGAGGAAGTCGGGCTGCGACGTTCCATTCCACGGAGCTCATCAATCAAATGCAAATTAATAGCACACCAGATGAACAAAGGAAACTAATTCTGACTGGACGTGGGGAAATAAGCTACAATAAATAAATGACAGTCATGCCAGTTATAGTTGGAGCACTTGGAACGGGAAAAATCAGAAGTCGAGATTGGATGAGAATGAAAGCTTGAAGAAGAATTTAAACAGGCCAATTTTTGGTGATATTGGGGTCTTCGAGAATACTGCGTAAGGTTCTGGAGATTTAAGAGAATTTCTGCCCCTCACCACCCAGCAATGGAATATAGAAATGCATGAATAATAATAATAATAATAATAATAATAATAATAATAAGAAGAAGAAGAAGAAGAAGAAGAAGAAGAAGAAGAAAACGAAGCAAACGACGCCGAGAAAAATCACGCCAGTCATATAACGAGTGATAAGAATTTCTTTAAAAGAAGAAATATGTTCTGGAATGCGAAGGAAATGTGTCCCTTTCAATTAGGAGCCACTAACTTGTACCGGTGTAGGTAATTCATCAAAATATTGAGAATCTGGAGTTTGTGATAATGATGAAAAAAAGTTTCTGCAGATGTCTCTCAATCACCATGACAATCACAAGAAATATGCTGCGAAAATGCCAACATAATAACAATAATAATAATAATAATAATAATAATAATAATAATAATAATAATAATAATAGGTGGAAAGGTGTCAAAACTTAAAGTACGATGTAGCATGATTAAGGGGGCTTAAAAAGTCGAGGTTGTTGCTGTTCTCGTGGGTGCCATTGGAACAGTGACAGACAAAACCCGAAAATGGCCGGTTAAACTTGGAATTGTGATTCCAACTGAGATGCTTCCCAAAACAGCACCGCTTGGGACAGTCATAATTCTGAGAAATGTTTTTTCTGAATTAGAAAGGTGAAGAGAGGAAGGACATTCTTTTGGCTGTTAAATTACGACATAAGTTGCACCGCAATAATAATGATAATAATAATAATAATAATAAGAAGAAGAAGAAGAAGAAGAAGAAGAAGAAGAAGAAGAAGAAGACAGTTTATTTTTTTACTTCATTGTAGATTATTGTTCTTATTTTTTTTTAACGTGAGATCGTTAATGCACTGCAAGAAATCTAAGTCTAGGAAAGATCCAAATTATCCTGCTGTCGCAAAAACGGGTAACAAACTCTGGGGGCCTGGTGTATCCATAACACACCGTTCACGATAATGAGAAATAAAGATTGGTAAATTAAAGAGACTTATTGTCACTTGATCTCATTTGAGAGGTACCAGATAGCATGGCTGTGAAATTACGAGCATTGCTAAAAGTAGAGAAAACTTTTATTTCTCGTTTTAAACAAAGATATTAGGAGTGGAAGCAGGAGTGTGTAGATGCATAAGATACCGTATTAATGAAAAGGAAAGAATGATTAATAACAATATAAGTAAAGAAAGAAAAAAACTTTTACTTACGATATTGTCTTTTTCTACACACGACAGTTTGTTTGGAATTCCAGTTAGCCACCCGAGTCGTCGTCGTCGTCGTCGTGGTTGAGAAGTTAGCACGAGGCGCGCACTTCATGCAAAGAAAGTCGTTCGTAATTAAAGTTCGAGCATTTTAGTTTTGTTATGAAAACTCGTTTTACTTTTTACTTTCCTTTATATATACATACATACATATATACATATACATATATATGTATATGTATATGTATGTATATATATATATATATATATATATATATATATATATGTATGTGTATATATATATATATATATATATATGTATATGTATATATACTTTGCTTATTTTTCAGCTATTGTCTGTTTTATTGTTCTTTTTTCTAATTATTCTTTTAGCTGTTATACTTTTTTGCAACTCTTTTTATCGAAATAATTGTCTTCTTTCTTTCCCTATCTTCTTCTTCTTGTTCTTCTTCTTGTTCTTCTTCTTCTTCGTCTTCTTCTTCGTCTTCTTCTTCTTCTTCGTCTTCTTCTTCTTCTTCTTCTTCTTCTTCTTCTTCCGCTTGACTTTTCTCGGTAGACGTTGAAGCGCTTCTTCGGCCACGCAAAAGCGTTTTCAACACTCAATTCTCGCCGGGTCCGTCGTTACTCGTCTTATTGCTTGACGACGTGTTCAGCTTTATTTTCCGTTCTTGCTATTCCCACCTAAAACGCATGGGTTTGTTTACGTTAAATGTTACAAGAAGTCGGTGTCAGCCACGTCCAGAGTTGCAGGAGGAGATGCAGCAGCGGCAGATGCAAGAGACGAAGGCAGCGGGTGGGTGGCGATGGGAGGGGGTTGTGAGGGCAGAGAGGAGGAGGAGAAGGGGGGTGATCGGAGGGCGTTTTTTACGAAAGTAGGAGTGGCGCACCTCGCTACTTACTCGACAACACCCCAGAAACAACAACAACAACAACAACTGCAACGACAGCCTTATCGTTATTGTCGTTGCAACTTGAAAATTTTATAGCCTTTGGTATCGCAGGTTTTACTAACATGTTCTTTTTCACACATAGGTAGATATGTTGATGGGGTTTGAAGTGCATTACAATGGACTTAATCGTGTGACATGTGAGTTTGCATTCAACAATCAATACACACACATATGCGCACATGCGCGCTCGTGCGCGAGCGCGCACACACACACACATATATATATATATATATATATATATATATACATATACAGGTAAAATGAGAACAAATGGAGAAAAATTCTACTGTACGTAACATTTAATTTAAAAGAGACCTCAATATAGAGTAGAGCTAAATATTTTTAGGATATTAAAACAAAAACATGTTAAAAATCGCTACACAATGGCAATTATGTTTCAACACTACAAATGCATCTGCTCGGACGATGTCAAACCATTGTCGATATATATATATATATATATATGTGTGTGTGTGTGCTTAACATCTCATTTAATAAAAATTAATTATATAAATAAATGTATATAACTTATTAAAATCAGTAGGCAAAACAGTTTTAGTCAATGCTACATTATTTTTATCTTCTGCGGGAATAATACTTTCTTTCAAACTTCCAAAAATAATCTCATGTCTTCAATATTAAACAAGTCTGTTGATCTGTGTATTTTTTTTGTTTCGTGTAAAAATAAAAATTATTACAGCATAATCGAGTTATATAGTTACATTGAGATTACAATATCGGCCGATAGCAACCATGACATTGGTTTCACAGTTCTTGATTACATTAAGACAGAAAGTTAGAAAGGGCTATAATCGTCCACGTCCTGAAAGGACATGGTGCATAAATGAAACTGAAGGGGACTACATTGCTCTCTCCTATGTAAAGGCATGAACATTTACCCTTCTTTATAAATTGTTATACTCACATAACAAACAAATTCACCGAGCTGCCTGTAAATTTCTACTGTAAAAATCAACAATCGATTATTATTATTAATAATAATTTATTTATTTAGTTACTTTTTTCAAATTAGATTCTGGTGTTTAACTGAAGATAGAGCATAAGTAAGTCTACTAAAATATATAGGATTTCACTCAGTATCATCGTTGATATCGCGTTTTCATAAGTAACTGATGATTTTCTTTCGAATACAAATGATAGCAAATCTCCTAATCACTAAAGAACTTTCCTCAGTATTTTAACCGATCTTAGCGCTATTGTCTATATGCTTTCCTGATCTGTAGATTCTTTTGTTTTTTACACATTTTAGGGACTGTTCCGTGTCATCATATAATAATGAGTATGACTGCCACTTTCACATTCAACAGTCTCTTTGCTGCTACTGTGTAACAGGCTCCCTAGTCAGTGTTTCCCCGATAACTAGTATCTTCAAGTCAAAGGTCAACCGTTATCTATCATACACAGCTTCATAATCCACGCTTCTTATCTACTCCTCTGATGTCCAGAAAACAACCTCATTCGGTAACCATCTATCTTGAGTGACTTTTGAGCCTTGTATTCGGTGACTAATAGTGTAAAAAAAAAACATTCTAACCAAATCAAGATATTTATCGAGCTTTCACTTGCTTTCTTTCAGATTTATTCGGTAGTCAGCTGGAATTATAAAATCAACTATTATTATTATTATTACTTATGATTATGATTATTGCATATGAACCCCCTTAATCTTTGTTAGAAATAGTGTAGTAATTCGTCTGATAGACACGTATTTATTGGTCTGCAGGTTCATTTTTCGGGAAATTATGAGTGCCTTGAAAACAATATATCGCGGACACTAGAAATGATTTCAACTGTGAATTGGTCAGTAACTCACTAGTAAAGCTTCAACTATTAAGTTAAAATCAAACGATTGTGTTGCTCCAATTTTTCCAGTACAGAGAATCTTGAAAATCATCATTCGAAATATTGGAGCTTACATGATTTCGAACACTGACCACTGGCTCCGGCTTGAAACTAGTAATTATCTCTAACTAGTAGTTCAGTTATTTTTACGAAATTATTACAAATGTATGTTTTGACTTCAACATTGGCATCACATGCAAATAAATAAGTAAAAATAGGAAAAAAAATAAAACACTAAAATATTATGTAATGTTCAGTTAACTAGTAATCGATTAAAAAAAACATCTGTCTGAAAAACTCTTATACACTGTTAAGAAGTTACTCTTTTTTTTTCGCGAGTCTTGTTGGTGAAACATAGTAGCAGAAGTTATACTAACTTTTAAGACTAATGTCACTACTTTTTTCATAGCAGACTCATTAAATGCTATTACTTTTATCTGTGTGATAAGTAGATCGAGGTACTAGCTTCTTCTTGCTTGTGACTATCTCTTCTCTTTTGGTAGTATCACTCATTCTGATATGTTTTTAATAGTAAGCCTATAATCGCCTTTGAGATTGTTATTGTTGTCACTCATAGGGAAGAGGGGCGCTATTATATATAGACGTTGTTTCCTGATGCTAAATGCGCTGTCAAAGAAGAGAGGAGAAAAATATAGAAAAATGAGAGAAAGAAAAAAGGGTAAAAGAAAGAAGGAAGGAAAGAAAATAAAAGAAAAAAAGTAAAAGAAAGAAAGTAAAAGAAAGAAAGTAAAAGAAAGAAAGAAAAAAAAAAAGAAAGAAAGAAAGAAAGAAAGAAGTAGAAAAATAAAAATAAAAAGAATGAAAAAAGGGAAATTCAAAAATATTTCCGCTATTCCAACAAAATAAAAGCATTAAAAGAATCCGAAAAAAAAAACAAAAAAACTGCTGTATAGTATAACGTATCTTTCTTCACATTTGTTGCTTTTAATACTTTTCCGGTCGATATATTCTTTGGCATTCTAAAGTTTTAAGAAGCATTTTTAGTTCAGATTATTATCTTTATCGAAGTCTTTTTAGTTAAATATCTCGGCCGGTATATTCTTCGGCTTTCCAAGTGTTTCTGGAATTTTAAAATATCTCCAGTATTCCTTTTATTGTTAAGTGTGATCCTCACTTAAAAAGATAAGATAAAAATAAAATGAAAAAAATATTTTTTTAGTCTCCGTCCATTGTCTAAAATCACACATTCATCAGCTTGCTTGTAATTTCAGAGATGCTGAGATATAGTATTTTCATTTTGCCACATAACACAACGTTTCAACTGATATAGCGTTCGTCCTTCTTCAGGTATACGCTGAATCTGCTTAGATGAAAACAGAAGAAAGAGGAAAAAGTGTACTAGGCAAATACTAACGACTAGATACTAAATACATCGAAAGAAGGCTGAAAAATTTATCAGCCGAAATGGACGATATGTGGAATAAAGAAATCACTTTGTTTGACAATTTCATAAAACAACGAGAAAGATATGTGATAGAAGTGTGGATGAGAGAGTCACTGCTTGTCACGGTGCGCGTTAAACGAAAACAGAATCTATCCATCGACATTAGACAATCCATATATTATAATATTTCTTTGGTTTTCTTTCTCTCAACCATTTGTCTCTTCCTTTCTGTCCTACCGCGAACTCGTGTGTCTCTATGTGTGTGTATGTGTGTCTGTGTGTGGCCAAGAGGTACAATTCGTTTCATCTGTACACGTTGCAAATAAATATACTCACAATGAGACCGGCAAACAGAATCCACATGCAAACTGGTCTGAGAATCGTGCTTTATATGATAGACACATATATTTAGATAATCTGGAACAAGGTCATGTTATTTGGGCGCTCAAAGGGAATCAAATAGGTTACTTTAACGGAGCGGAGAGAAAAATTTACCAAACATCGCTCTAGGGCAGATACCCGTATGTGAATGCATTCCGAATTAAATATATATACGATTAAGTCTACGGATATGTAGATAAACATTTACGAATATGGAGGTGTGATTCCTTGACATATTGTAGTGTTTATATGTTTATGCTTTTTTAATGGGACATTAGTAGACTTGAATTAATCTGGCACGAAGCGAAATGGCGTGGGTAGAAAGAGATAATACAGGTTTTTATGCATTTGAGACGAAGACATTTAGAAATAAAGGCACACACATGTGCATATATGCGTATACACAGAGACACACAACGCCCAGTAACACTCAAAAAAATTCCTTTAACCTTATATTCTGATTTTCGAATAAGTTGTGATACATTCAAATCAAAATTGTGGATAAAATGTTCTCTAAGAAAAATACTAACTTTGCACAGTTTATCCACAATTTGGATTCGGATGCACGATTTATTTAAATATTTCGAAAATACAATAAAAAAAAAAAAAAAAGTAAATAAACAGACTTTGTCGATTGAATTTAATACATCTTATTTTTTTTATTTATTTTTTTTTGCAGTTACGTTCCCACTGTACTAGACCCGGGAGCCACTGGAGGTAGAGGGTTAAATTAAGAAGCAGTTTATACGGATAGGAGGGAAAGATAACGGTTAACCTTAGAAAATTCTTGCTGCTTTGTATCTTCATACACTATACATACAGACACATACACCTGCATATATATATATATATATATATATATATATATATATATATATATATATATATATATATATATATATATATACCCGGAGTTATATTTTCCGATTTCTTTTTGAATTTGTAGGTCCGATGAATTGGATCGTGATTACGATTCAATGTAATAAATTATAACCATGGAATATTAGTGTTTGAGCTTTATATATATATATATATAAAATATATATATATATATATGTCTCTCTCTCTCTCTCTCTCTCTCTATCTCTATCTATCTATATATATATATATATATATATATATATATATGGGTGGTTTGCTACTATGTAAGTGGCAAGGCGGGTCCCTAGCCGTGAAGATTAGACCTGACGGAAATAAGGTATGTAGTTCGTCCGAGCACTTTCCGTAGCGGGTGGCGATAAAATAGTGAGGGACTCGCTACATCTCAACAATGCGAGAAAGGTTGGAGTGTAGTAAATAATTCTTCTCTAACAAGGATTTTGAAACACTTCTGGAGTCTGTTAAGACTGTAAAGTGAGGACCGGGAACTCTCGCCCAAATACGGCAACAGTGCTCTATTTTGGGCCTAATTTGGCTCATGATAACATGAGGAGTCAGGTACTTCCTGGAGCGGTACACGGAGCCGATGATAACGGTAAATAAACTATACTATGAAAAAAACAAAGATATTCAACAACAAAAAATTGAACAGATATTCAACTCAGAAAAAACAGGAAATATTTAATAAGTAAAGCCTCCCCTTAGACAAGATGCCCGAAGCAGGTGGTTCTTTTCATATTTACTATTGCATGTGTGGCCTTCAACGAGTCATTCATGTTATGGAGTTGCTGGTTAATTTTCCTTTCGAAAACATCCGAGATGTTACAGTCTAGGGAATTCAAATCAGGAGAGATAAGATGCCACATTTTGTGGGTGACATGATCGTGAAATCTTTACGTTACCTTCCACATACTCCAGGCTTGAACATCGAGTCCATCAACTGTAGGCAGTGGCAATATCCCTGCAAGATATGCCTTTCGTTATTCACGACACTCCAGTAAATCACAGACGACGTGTACTTAGTGAGCATCATCGTGGGCACGGCCGTTGGACCGGCGCTGTCACCTGTCATTCCTCCTGTTTATCTTCTAATCCTAACCGAAGTTCTCATCGGAAAAGAAACTGATCATGCCTGGCTTCTCTTGACGTTTTTACTTGTACAGAAATTGCTTCGGTCGCAGGATTTTTACCCATAGTTCCTTTACAGTATACGCCTGACAGAACTTCGCGATGACCCTCATTGAGTTGATGATTTCCTGGTTGATGGAGTCGCAAACATACTTAGCATTCTCATGAGGTCTGATCATTTAGAGCGGCTCTTTCTTTTGGTCACAGACAAAGGTTCCCTGATAGAGACTCAAGCCCGTTCCGGACACGACCATGTCACTTATCACTTATTTACAGTGATTAGTGGCCAGTGATGTGAACAGGGCTTGTTTTTTTTTTGTTTTTCATTCCTATATAAGATTGGAAAATGGCATGAGAATGCTCTCGATACATCTGAAAGAAAAATGTGAATGCTCCAAATTAACGCATACTGAGAAATATCACATTACATTGTCTTCATTTATGGTCTTCTGAAAACGTTTTCTTAAATAGCTGGCGCGCCTTATATACAGGGTAATTGAAAAGTAACTCCCTATATTATGCATGAGTGGCCAGCCAGGAGTCCTGACTTAACATCCCGTGACTTTTTTTCTTTGGAGTTGGTTAGAGGAGCAAGTCTACTTTACTAAGATTTAGGAAGAGCTTGAAAGGCGAATACAAGAAATTATGTTTTACATACCATAAATGTCCCAGGTGACGCGATTCCTGGGTGGCTTGAGAAGCTGGTGCCCATATGGAATTTTAAATAAAACTTCATGCTAAACGCTTTCCTCTTATAACCATTTCTTGTAAAAATTATAGTTAATAAATAAATTATAAGTATTTTAAAATGGGGAGTTACTTTTCAGTCACCATATAAATGATAGGCGTGGTTGGAAATATACATACATATATGCATGTTCAATTCACCGATTCTAACAAACACACGCATCCGTTCTATATATATATATATATATATATATATATATATATATATATATATATATATTGGAAGTCGGCATGAGTGAAATAACGCCACTCAGTTAATTGATAATTTTCTCCTCATTAATTCTATTAACGATCTATCCTTATCTTTTGATATTGAGCATTTTATGACAAAAACCTGCCTAAAATGCCTTCCTACCAGTAAACTACGGAAAAAGAATTTGCAATTTCGACACCTAAAAACTCATAAAACTTGATAAAATATATATATATTCGTTATTATTTGAAATGGATGGTCCATATCTATTTATTTAACAATGTGTATAGCTTCTAGCGGTCTGAGCAATCGAGAAAATAAAATGCGTTCAACAGCAGAAATCGAACACGTGTCTTCCTTTGAATCGGAAATTACTGCGTGATTCATCGTGTTTAACCGCTCGGCCACGAAGGACATCACAAGAAGCAAGGTTGCTTTTTTTCGTGTTGATGGATAAGCACATCTTCGTCTCTCAGATTATGTTTTCGAAAGCTTCATCTCTTATCAGGTTCGTATCCGAAATTTAAATAAATATGATTGGACGTCTATTTTAAATACGAACTGTCAAACGATGATAACGTTTAGAGTAGTAGAAATGTCGGATTAAGAGTAAAAAAATTTAAATATATATATATATATATATATATATATATATATATATATATATATGGGCATATTTTCTTCATTACAGACTCTTATTAAAGGGCGGTAAACGGCAATTATACGGTTTCAAAACAGGGATAAACATTTAAAGATTTGTATCCACAAATATAACGTACACAGTAATTAGGCATAAGAATTAACTTAGGATTTTACATCAAAATACATTAATTCTTTAGAAATTACTTTGTTTACTTTTCGGATACGAAAATAAAGTTAGAATGTATGAGTGGTAAAAACACCTTAAAGTCACTTGTGCCCTATTTCGTAAATCTATTGAGCCTTGCTTTGCCGCGACGTCATTCTTGACTGCGTGGTCTAAAAGCTAGAAGGACGATACGTTTGTTTCCCTACATTAATAGGACATAGGTTTAAACTCCATCGAAGTGAGCATTTTCCTTTATTAAAATAATATAAGACCGGTCAACAATAGTTATACTGTTTGAAAACAGACATATCTGCCCAAAACGCCTGTATCTGCTAAATATTATGTATATAATAATAATAATAATATATTATATATAAATATATTAATTAATATTAGATATATCAAAGTTGTCTTTTTTTCTTAATAATAATATAATATAATATATAATAATAATATATTAAATATAAATATATATTAATATTAAATATTTTAAGTTGTCTTTTTGTTAATAATATATATATATATATAATCAACTCTCCCGTCGAGGGTCAAGCAGATCAGTTTCCAGGAAACCGACACCTGCACATGAGATTTGATTATAGTGGTGAAGGCTTCGTGCAGGACCATCCACACTTTTTGAAGGGCCGAACAGAGAGACCTGGTGCACCGAGTGCCACAAGGTTCCCAAACGACCCTCCGAAGGTTTTGAATTCAGAGTTGTCCTTCTCCTAGTCCAGTTGCCATCCAAGGCTATAGAACCCACTCTCTCCTGCTATTTTACCCATAGCTGGAGGGAGAGGAAGAGGATTCATACCTTTCCCAAGGGTATTAGAACGTAAGTGAATGTAATGGATTCGACTGGAATTCGAACTCGGCTCTGCGATTCCTCAATCCAAGCCGCTATCCATTACTCCACCGTATATGCGTATATTTCGGCATGTTTTCATTGAGACATGTTTCGTTAAATAATGTTCTGTTTATTTATTTTCAATAGGATCCTTTCATATTTGCGGATAAGCTT